AAAAAAATCCTCTTTTCCCGTTATGGTTAATTATTGAAATAAGTAGCTCTGCTTTTATTAGTAGCTTGAAGCCGTGCATGGAAAGGAAATTTAGAAATCAACGTCAATGCGTATATTTGTCCGCTAAGATTGCAGAATTTTTAGACACACAAAAATATATCTGAACCAAAGAATGTTGTGTAGATATCATTTGTAAAAAGTCATTGTTGTAGGTTCTTTTAGGCTCGATTACCAGCCGCTGTTGGAGAGAGCGGCAGAAATCGACCTAATTTTTTTTTTTAATATAACAGGATGACAGCATCGAAGAATTAATCGCCAGTGTAAGTGGACTAAGTTCCAATGACAACACGCCTCAAAAGCCACGTCTACCAGCAGTTAAAAGACCCAAAGAGGACACCCAGAGGTCACCCGCAAAGCAGAAGCTATTTGATGAAGAGTACGTAATCATTCTTTTATTGATGTAATAGAGTGTTGGGTTTAGGTGAATGGTTTTCTGTTTTGATAAAAATGTGCACAGAATGGAATACAAAAAACTAATTAGTTATAAACGTCAAGGGAGTAAAAACAGGGAAATTCCCTCGAGATCATTACAAGTGCACATGAAAATAAACGTCTCTTTTGTTGTTTGGGAGGCGTAGACTAGATGGCGGCATGCAGATGTGTTAGTGGGGGTTATTATGATACGATATGAAAATAGCCGTGGTGTTTTATCAAAAGTCTATGCTTCTTAAGCAGTTTTCTTCCTGAAGCGTTAACGACCTTTTGCATTTATTGGTAGAGATAGCGACAGCAATGGGGACATCAGCGTTTTAAGAAAGGGACGTAGACTGTATGCCAACCAAGACGAAATTGACAAACTCAAGCCAGTTCAGGTGAAGAAGGTTCCTCTGGCTCCTCAAGGTCCTGTAAAGTATGAAGTGCAATACAATGATGCGGACCCTTTGTCAGTGGTTGTAGACAACTGGAAGTGGGGTAGAGCACAACCATGCAAAAGAGCGGGATTTTGCAAGGGTGGTAGAAGGACGCTTCAATTGTGTCTCGGTTCGCTAGAATGCGCAAACAAGAAGTGCGCATATTTAAAAATTTATAAGTCTCCAAACAAAGTCGATTTTAATCGATCAAAACGTTGCGTTCACTGTCACAGTGAAGCCATTAAAAAGCATTGTTCAGCAAGAAAATATGTTGAAAACGACCGGTGCCACAAAAAAATGACAGTAATCTACTTACAGGAACACGATTGCTCTCCAAAGCAAGAAGAAGATAAGCCGTCTAAAGAGGAAGTAGAAAACATTCTCCGTATAAAACCTACTAAATCAGCAGGTCAACTACAGTTGGACGTTGTACGCGAGGCCTTACTTAGTGGTAAAGAAGTAGACGAGGTGAACGAGATAGCTTTAAGATACAGCAACAAAAAACATCTTCAGTATATACAGAGTACCATTAACAAGAAAAAGAGACCTGGAGGATCGGAGATAGAAGCTGTTCAATTGCTTAAGGACGATTTTCTTGCCAGGAAATTAGATGAAAACTTAATTATGTGTGTTGGCGACGATTATGTCATTCTTTCGTCTGAGCATAAGGTGCGATTAGGTGCACTCATTACTCTTGGCATTGTTGACGAACCAGTAAGCCTCGATGGCTGTGAAAGCCGCGCGCAACACTACACAGAAATTGAGATGACCACTTACGACCCCATCTTGAGACGCAATGTCAAATTAGTCAGTATGTTTGCAGCCAAACCAGGTGAAAATTCAGATAACGTAAAAAAAATGGTGCAGTCTTTTGATGCGGCCGTTAACAATGTTCTCCCAAAAGTGGCTGGCCAATATAATGTAGATAATGAAGACGTCTTAGGACGGGGATTAGATCCAAAATCATACGTCGGTGATGAAGGTGGTGCTCTGTGGCGTGGTCTCTGCTTGGTAAAGGGGGAAGACGTAAAAAACAAGACCATTTCAGACTTTTTCCATTTCAAACAAGACATCAACCGTAATTCCGTTCATTTTGGCGACCAAAAAAGTAAAAAGGAATTCAAATCAATAATGATGGATGCGTATAATTCTCCTACCTCTTTGCAGGCAGTAGATGCGGAAAAACGACTTGTAAAACTTATTGAAAAAAAATCAACAAATGTAAAAAAAATGAATTCTTTTAAGGCATGGTGGTGGCGAAGAAAAGCGCGTTGGCAAAAATGGTGCCGCACACAGTCATCGAGCGAAGCATCCTCTGCGGAGGTGGCAAATGCAAAATCTTTGCACGCGTCCGGATATAGGAAAAGTCTGCTGGACGTGGTAACCGCGGAATGCGCAAGCGCTGTTTTGGAGGGTGCAGAAAACAAGAGACAATCCCTTGGCCTAAAGACAGTAGGTCGTGGCCCTTCCGCGGCAGACCGCTCTGATAAGCAATCCCTTAGTATGGCCAGAGCGAGGGAAGCGTCGGCCGACGCAATTCAACAAATCGCAGAGAAGGCAGAGGTTATAATTGATGATGACTTTGCATTGGAAACTGACGACGTCGAAAATGCACAGCAGCAGTTTAAAATCAACACAAAAGACACTCACAGGGCGGACAAAAAAAATCAAACAAAACAAAAAAGTAAACAAGTTAAGAAAGTGAAAGATGGGCACGTGACCAAAAAACAAAAGAAATTATTCCACGACAAGGTTGAAGGAGTTCACATGGACCTACTTCATTGTGATTCCTCTCTGACCGAATTCACGTTCAAAGTGCTTGATACAATGGGGTATCTCGAAGAGATTTGCATCAGAAAGGAATCTGCCATCTGCTCATCTGTCTGGTGCAAAAAGGAATGTCACCACCTGATGTGGATTTTCCACAATTTGTTCAACTTTGATAAAGAGCAGCCGATTATGTACCAGTCAAAATTCACTGATCAACAGTGGAAACAAATAATTGAGGCATTCCCAGAAAACGTCCCACTGCCTAAAGTGACTTGTCCTTCAGAGGATGAGCAACAATATACGATAAACAAAAGAACATCTAAAAAGGACGCTAAATGCGCCACCTGTAAAAAAGAATTATCAGAGGGTAATATCCAAGCCACAACAGAAGGCCCTTACAGGACAATACAGAAGTCCTGGATTAAAAGAACATTCTTCTTTTGCCCTCGTTTGCAGTGCATGGGAAAATTGCCGAGGAATTCTTTTATTTGCCCATATAAAACTGGAATGACACTGTTAATCGAAACACCTTTGACTGAACAGCAAAAGAAAGAAATAGACTTGAAAACTTGACTTATTTAACTAAAATATCACCCGCCGCTCTCAAAAACATCATCACGGACGGTGGGCTGATCATTTGTCAGTTTACATGTTCAAAAACATCTCAGTAAAATGGCACCTGTTGCATTTGCGAAGTGATCTTTTTATGCCTATCTACTATTAACTTTTCAAACGAGATATTTCAACTCTGCAAAGCAAGACTCTCACCTTGCAATTGTTAGTAACCAGCTAAGTAAAATAAACCTAGAAAATCAAACCGGTCAAGAGAGTAAGTCAGTTCGAGTTATACCATGGATTCCCGATTTCTTGAACCTCCCTGACAAACAAAAAATGGTTCCAGAAATATCTGGATGAGGTAAATTTCTCCTTTCTTTGTTTGCCTCTGTTTTGCTAATTGGACATAAAGATTGCTCAAATAACAGAAGGTATTATGAAATCGGCGGTTCCAAAAAATCTGGATTATACTGTAATTTTCCATATTGTAGGGAAATTGTGAGCAGCAGCACCAACAATAATAACAAGAACAAAAAACAACAACAACAAAAACATCTCTGTCTCTAAAGACTACAAAGAATGCGTGACTTCGATAGTGTTATGTAATCTATGCAGTACTGATGTTATCTGAACATTGATAAATCGTTTTACTACCAAGACGCATCTTCGAAGGTATTTTTCTTCGACATTTTCTCTCCTTTCAAAACATAATATAACAGATCTTAAAATAAATAATTAAACAAATAAATAGCACGAGATAAATACAGTTACATCACGTTTTAGAATCATCTATGAAATTAAAACCGTCGCTACATGTCGCTAGTGTCACTCGCGTCATGTATCATTTAATATACAGCGTTATGTAATTTTTTCTTACGTTTAAATTGTGGCTCGCATGACTCGCATGGTTTTTCTTACGTAAAAACCGTGGCTCGCATAGCTCGCATGTTTTTTCTTACGTTAAAACCGTGGCTCGCATGACTCGCATGGCTCGCATCGTGACTCGCATGACTCGCTGGCTCGCATATTAGTAAGACTCATTGTTTGAAATTTGCATGGCAGGATAAACTCGCAAATCTCATTATTTTGAAAAAATGCCATGATAAGGTAACTTGAACAATAAACGCCACGAATGTTGTAATCGCTAAATAAAATTGTTTTAAAAGTTTATGTAATAAGGTGCTGTCTGTATAAGGCGAAGGAAGGATTTTCAAATAATGGGGCGCTAGCCATTTGAATGGAATTCCTAGTTAGAAATTTCCATCAAATGGTACATACCTCATGCTCCCAAGCTTGAGGTTAACGCTCATACTGTAAATTAAGGCCCCGATTATTTTGCATCCCAATTTATGATTAGAGAGGAAAAAGGAGGCTCCGTAGGTTACTGTACAGACCTAGAAAATGAGTTTAATTAAATAATTAACTTCAATTAATGCAATTAATAGTGTGGAGGCGCGGTGGCTTATGGATCGGGTGGTGAGGGTTCGAGCCCTGGCCGGGGTCATTGTGTTGTGTTCTTAGGCAAGAAACTTTCACAGTGCTTCTCTTCACCCAGGTATACAAATGGGTACCAGCAAATATGCTGGGGGTAACCCTGCGATGGACTAGCATCCCACCCAGGGGGGAGTAGCTAGCCGCTTCATGCTAAGAAAACCGGAGTTAAGCACCGGCCCTATAAATAAAGTCTTTACTTAATTACTAATACAATTAATATACCTGTGATTTTTTGGTTTTTACTAGTAGTCCTTTTTCTTCATACTTTAGGTTAAGGAACTTCTTATTCAAAAACACAAAGAACTGAAAATGGGTTCGGTAAGTAAGCTTGCTACATAACAGGTTTTCTCGACATCTTATCTAGGGTACACTGATACAATCTTTAATTTTAACAAGCCTTGATTGTCACGCTTCATACAGTAATTTTCAAATGTTTGTCGAAAGTAATCTGGGATTGCATTGGTTTTGCTTCAATTTGCTTTGTGAGTGGTCCAGATAATTCGTGCCACTCTCTCAAACGATCAGATTCGAAACTAACACCGATCTCGTCTTTTTTGCCCTCGTTTGTCTGCGCTTTTGATAAGCGATTTACTCGTATTTACTTTGCCTTTTCATTGACTTCTTGTGTTATTTTTCCTAGTTCTAATTGATTGTTGTGATGACTTTGGTTTTGCTTTAACGACACTTGAACGAAAAGCGCTGTAACCAGTTGTTAAAATGTTATCTCTCATTGCAGCCAGAGGATTATGATACCTTTGTATCAGCGGTTATTGATGGCAAGGTAAAACCCTTTTACCTAATTTGTGATCCTGAGGAAGTACATAGCTAGGTTTGTGATTAACATTCCAGTGATTTTTTGTCTTTTTTTTTTTCAGTCGTACAAGAAAATAAAAGAGTACATCGATTATGCCAAAGAAAGCCCAGATCTCAGTATTATTGCCGGAGGAAAGTGCGATGACAGGTGAGATTGACTTGAGTTTACCAGAAGGATGTTTCCTGTGCGCTGCTCATAGTGTTATTATTAGGATAATAGTACATTATGATAATTAAGTAAATGTTAAGTTTCTCAGTGATTTCTTGTTCATACCCTCCTCTGTATGACACCGAATTTTTACAATTTGATTTTCGGAGGGTACCGTTCTACTTCAGGACGACATCGTCCGTTTCCGCAAACTTGCGTCCGTTTCCATCTGATTTCGGACACTTGCGCCCGTTTTATAGCCTGCAGAACGGGCTTATTTTCATCCGTTTTGTAGGCGAACGGAGGCATGCGCGAGGTGAGCGCGAATTGCTCTTCCCTCGCGCGACTCGCACTTCGCGCTCGCCACGCACTTGCCTCCGCCTGCCACACAAAATTACGCTTGTTCTGCGGGCTAGAAAAAAGGACGCAGGAGTCCCAGATCACATGGAAACATGCGGAAACTGACGCAAGTAAACGCAAACTGACGATATCTTCCTGAAGTAGACTTTTTGTGCTTCTGGTTTCGGAAAATTGTATGTTTTTGGACGATACCATCTGGTTTCGGACACTTGCTTCCGTTTGCGGAAGATCGCGTCTGTTCTTGAACAGTACCGTTCGGCTTCGGACACTTCAGCCAAAAAAGATAGCAGACTTTCGTCCGCTTTCGGACACTTGCGTCCGTTCTTGGACGGTATTGACTGGTTTCGGACATCGGTTTTCAGACGTTTTGGTCCGATTTCAAAAACTGGGTCCGTTTTCGTAACGATATCCGCTGATTTCAGACACTTCTAGAAGTCGATACACGACAAAAGTGGAAATAACAATAATGAAATTTGCGAGGTATAACTTGTACTTCGTATACCTTTAGAAAACTGTGTTCTTAAGTAATTTGAAATCCTTCTCTTCTTCTTCCTTAGTGTGGGTTATTTTGTTGAACCAACTATCATCGAGACTAAGAAACCCGATGACAAACTCATGAACGAGGTAAACGCATTTCTGTCAAAAGTTTTCTTCTTTACGATTTATAAATTGTACTGTTCTGATTACTGCCTCATTCATTTCTTTTAATTTTGTTTGATTCTGTCTAATTTCTTCTTCAGGAAATTTTCGGCCCTGTTCTTACCGTATACGTATACCCAGACCAAAAATGCAAGGAGACGCTTCAATTAGTAAGAGCACTGTTAGCTAATATAGGAGTGTAGTTGTCAACGGTTTGTTGAAAATTATTTAGCATTGTATTGGTTTTTTTAATTTACTTCACTTTGTGATTGGTAGACTCTCAACCAATCAGCTGATAAATTTAAAACCGATTTCAAACCCGGTTAATTGTTTTCCGGCACCTTTGTCAGTTTTACTTTTTTATACTCTGGGTTCTGATGGAGCAGTTTTCGATTGAGTTTCGTTAACTCAAAACAACGACCTACGACCTATGAGCTCATGAGGACTACAAGTGAAAACAACCATATAGTCTAAAGGGCGGGAAAAACGCAGGCGACCAAGTCGTGATTGGTTTTAGTTTTGTATCTGATTGGTTGAGAGTGGCGCGAGTTTTCTGGACCAATCACAATGCGAAGTAAAGCAACGTCATTGAAAATTTTCGACTACTTTTGACACTCAAATGAAAATCGCTTTATTTTCGTTTGTTTTGATGGGCACTGTTTTTAATTTGGTTTTGGTTTACGACGCGCAAACGAAATGCACTGAATCTGCGACCATCTTGAATGAGTCTGAATCTGTGACCATCTTGTGGAGGAAATAAATACAGAAGTGTTCCTGTGCTTTAGATTTGATATTTCACTATTGCTGCCTCGTAGGTAGACAAGACTTCTCCATTTGCTCTGACCGGGTCCATTTTTGCAAAAGACAGGTTAGTATTTATCTGCTTTGGGTCGAAATTAGATATGTTAGTGAACCGAAAGTGCGTTTACTCTTGTATTTTGGGATGAAAAACCTTGCAGATATTTTATCCAAGAAGCAGCTGATATTCTGAAAGATGCAGCTGGTAACTTTTATATCAACGACAAATCAACTGGATCTGTTGTGGGTCAGCAACCTTTTGGAGGTGCGCGTCTTTCAGGTTAGTTTTCCACGTCACTATCTCATCCCTTTCGATATTCCTATACACTTTTAAAACGATATAACTCCTTGGCTCGTGTGGTTGTTTATAGTTTTGATTTATTATTCCTGCGAGACAGCTTGCTTTCTGGCTACCATATCGGTGACAAGGAGCTAAAATGATCCTGGGCTCGAGATTGCCTGACAGCTAGATTTTGGGCCGCCTCGTAGTCGCTTTAGCATTTGCACATGCGTAGACTATTGACCGCTGCGGTCACTTTGTGGCTTGCCGTTCATAGTAGTAAAGTAGGTAATTTAGTGTTAACAACTGAGTTGAAAACGTAAATTCGCTACCGTAAAGGGTAAAAAAGCTGACGTTTCGAGCGTTAGCCCTTCGTCAGCTTTTTTACCCTTTACGGTGGCGAATTTACGTTTTCAACTCAGTTGTTAACACTAAATTACCTGCTATACTCTCCCACCGAGGCAGCACCACAGTTTCTTTAGAAACTTACCCCTTTATTCATAGTAGTAAAGTGTTTGATTTGTCCCCATGTTAACCACTGGCTTTGTTCCAGGAACAAATGACAAGGCAGGCAGCTCTCATTACATCTTGAGATGGGTCTCACCACAAAGTGTTAAAGAAACCGTGGTACCAATCGATGACTACAAATATCCGCATCAATCATGAATTACTTCAGTCAGTGCTGTAATTTTCTGAGAAGAACAGAATGTATTCGATGGTTTCAAAGCAAATTTCTGCTCTCGCTAAGGGCGGGAGTGAATGCAGTAAAGGAAGTAAGGAAGAATTCGGAAACTGTCCAGAAATCATCGCAAATGATTTGCAGTTTTAAATGAACGATTTTTTAACAAGCGTTTCAAAAACGTTGGGAACGAGATTGCTCTATTTACTTGAAATTTAATTCGAATAATTTTGGGAAAATTTTGTACAGAAGATGCATTGATATCAAGCCACACGTAGTGAAAATGTGCATGGTTTCTTATCAAGAACAAATGTCTTGAGAAAAACGAATAAATAAATCAATTATCTAATTTTAACCACTGAATATGTCACCTTGAAGATTTCCCAGCGTTCAATTAAGATAGAAGTCCAAATAACGGGGTATTTAATTTATTTTTTCAATTGTTGTCAGTCTGTGTTGTGGGAACCAGACCTTTTTTAATTAGGGAAATAATTAGTAAGTTGGACTGTCATCAAAGTAACCTGTTTTAGGTGTTCATATGTAAAACGAAGCTCTAAGGTGAAAACCGGGGAGAACCTGTCAATCAAAATGACTAGGGCAATTTCAGTTTTTACAAAAAATCCGGTAATTTTATTCAACTCTGCTCTGTGATTGGTCCAGAAAACTCGTGCAATCCTCCCAACCAATCAGATATAAAACTAAAACCAATCGCGACCTGATTACTCGCGTTTTCCCGCGCTTCACCTGTTTTCAACTCAATCGAAAGGCGCTCTAAAAGTGCCAACCGATCACATATGGTTCTCCCAGCGCTACCCGATCCGAGTAGTTTAGTGTGGATAACCGGCAAAAACGCATCAAGAAGTATGCGTTTTCAAACGAAACGGTAGTACAGAAAGGGGCCTGAGGCAGGCGTTTCTCCGACGGTACCATACCATACTTTTACCAGTCAGGCAAAGGGGCAAGTTTCTAAAGAAACTGTGTTGCCACGTCGGTGGGATAGAATTACAAGGTAATTTGGTATTATCAACTGAGTTGATAACGTAAATTTCCCACCGTAAAGAGTTTCAAAGCTGACGTTTTGAGGGTTGGCCCTTCGTCAGAGCAAATGCTTTAACCAGCCTCATCAAATAGTTCGTACAGTCACGTGGGAATAGGTTTATTACTCAGAGGAGTGGAAGAATGTGAAGGTAGTAGTAGTAGTAGATCTTTATTTAAACTCGGTTAAGAATCTTCAGTTATACTAATAGTATTTTAATTACAATCATTTGTAAAAAAATTAAAATAACTATAAAAACTGATTTACAAGATTGCCGAGTGGGAATTGAATGTTTCAAGTGCGCGGTTGATTTCCTTCTTAAACTACCCAATTGATCTAACAATTGCCCAAGGTAGCGGACACGAGCAGATCTTGTTCCTTTTTCGTAAGTGACGTTACAGTGAAATTCACACAAAATTTCCTCGTCCCACCTCTGCAGGTGAAGCGGTTTTCTCCGCTCAGATAACAAACTTTTTCTCTAGGTAGTTTGTCTTTAGAGGAGTCAATGAAAAGAAGCGTGAGCTGTAACAATTGCAGGAGCCACGTTGCGAGTTTGACTGAGTTCGTAGCCATTCTGTTACCGACGCTCTAAATTCACACCTGTTATCTCAATATTATTTGCTGAGTAAGATATTCTTGTTACAGCAAATCAACCTTAAAACGGCAAAAATCGCCTAAAATAACCGCGAAAAGACAAGATGGGAGTAAGTTTTATTAATTTTACGTGTAAAAAGTTCATATTTCAAAATATCTCTAGTTGTAAATCGACCATATTCCACCCCCACACTATTCCTGACAACGTGTTCGACGGTTCCTCCCGCAACTTAAGAGGCTGTCCGCGTAAGAACGGTAAGGCAAATTTCGGCCGACCGCCGATTTCCCTAAGTTTTTCAGTGAAAGTCGAAAATTCTATCCCATGTACAAATATCACATTTATTTTGATCATTTTCATTATTTTTATTTTTTATGAGACAATTTTAAAGGTCACCCCAAAACTGCCCAATTTGCCTTCTGTGACCCCTATTACTAAGCTATAAATATCGAGCGCTACCAAATCCTTATTTCCCAATCTAGAAAGCTGATTATTTTACATATTTAAGAATGACTTCATTTCAATACTTTAAAGGTAAAATGATTGCGTTCTATAAAATTTTTACCGAGTTATGAAACTTTCAAAATACCTTATCGTGAGCATTGAAATTTGTGAGGAGTGAGATACATGCGGTTGAAAGCTATTTTCTCTTACGTGGGACCTGATCCAGAGTCAAGTCTATTGCAGCTCAAAATTACTTAGAAACAGAAAGTTAAACATAGAATAAAACTTTTGGGCACTCCTCATCCTGCACCGTAGAGAGCTTGGCGAATTTCATAAATATTCGCCATCTTGATTGAAACCAACGATAAGGCGGTCCGACCTGCAGACAGGTTTCTAAAGCGTAACAGCCCTAAAGTACTTGAAGGTGCCGCAAAGATTATCTGATGGAGTATCAAGATCGATATAAGTCATCGTTTCGGCCATTTTTTCACATGCAAATTAGCTTCATGCGTTCGTGTTATAATACGTGTCAAAAATAGTTTCCGTAACAACATTTAGCCGTTCAAAGAAGTGTTCCTATAAATGTGAAACTCATCTGTTGTATCCTTTCTTGACAGCTTTACGTAAAATTTCAAGAGCCATTTCCTTTGAAGACAATGCGCTAGGGGAATCCAGTTTTTTTTGACAACCAAGTTGTTCATTTCGCGCAAGTATTTTTATCTTGTGCATAATCTTTTCAGGCCTCTTTTGCCGTTTTTCTTTGGGAAAATAACTCACCCGTACTTGGGGAAAAATTTCGTCTTACTATTTGTGAAAGTTTTTTAGATTGTGAGCTAGTTGGTTCTCATGATTAACGCCGTGGAGATTTTCAAGCGTGACTGTGGACTGCCGTGAACTAGCCTAGTCACGCAATACCAGCATTAAAAGATTGTCTCACGGCTGGTGAACTCAAATTAAAGAAACACTTAGTTCGGCATTTAAATCATGATATGATGATGTCTCATCGAGAGTATGAAAATCTCCCAGAAGAAATTGAGAAATTATGTAACCGATAGAAATTGGTATATTTAATTTAATAAACGTTTCCAAAAGTAGGTGAGCGAATTTAGTAATTTAAGTTAAAGGCATAAATCATTGAGAAAATTTAGAGGAGCCAATAGAGAAAATCTCTTTTGTAAATGCTCGTACATGCTATAGAGTGAGGGTCAACATGATTCACGGTCACGGTAGGCTTATGATTTTTTGTTTTGACATTAAAGGCATGACTACAAAATAACAGGCGCCAATTTTAAAATAATTTTTCGGGTTTAATTACATGTCAATGCTTTAAGCACTTTCATTCATCGATATAGAACTGTACATCAGGTTACTTAGAGGCGGTGCGCATTGCTCTTCAACAAACTCACTCTAAATGCCCTATCACTGGTTTGCCAGGGCTCCATGCTGACAGTCATCTCAACCGCGGCCCGTGTGTCACACTTCCTTAAAGCACTGACATTCTTATATAAAGGACATCAGTTGCTCAATCAGGTCTTTTTTCCTGTCTCTTGATTTAAATGGTATTCCAAA